ATACCGTTTGGTTTTAGTTTCATCCAATCAACGTCTTGAATAAGATTATACAAATATATATATTACATTGTTCTCTTAATCTTCTCAATAGCATTGCCAAATATCTTTAGGAAACAATCAAACGTGTTTTTCTTACATAATTCTGAAAATGGTAAATTAAAGATAGTGAAAAAACGAATAAACCGTGTCTGTTCACAAGGCCAATATCAGAACGTTATGGCAATAAAAAGAAAGTAGAAGAAGTGAAGAGGAAACACAGAAAGACAAAGTATACATAACGGAGTCACATCCAGAGAAATCTATGTTGAAGAGAGACCGAAACGAAAGGAAAGACGATGGTAAAGTCAGAGGAGACATCGGAGGTAAAGGAAAGGAAAGACGATGGTAAAGTCAGAGGAGACATCGGAGGTAAAGGAAAGGAAAGACGATGGTAAAGTCAGAGGAGACATCGGAGATAAAGGAAAGTAAAGACGATGGTAAAGTCAGAGGAGACATCGGAGGTAAAGGAAAGGAAAGACGATGGTAAAGTCAGAGGAGACATCGGAGGTAAAGGAAAGGAAAGACGATGGTAAAGTCAGAGGAGACATCGGAGATAAAGGAAAGTAAAGACGATGGTAAAGTCAGAGGAGACATCGGAGGTAAAGGAAAGGAAAGACGATGGTAAAGTCAGAGGAGACATCGGAGGTAAAGGAAAGGAAAGACGATGATAAAGTCAGAGGAGACATCGGAGGTAAAGAAAGGAAAAACGATGGTAAAGTCAGAGGTGACATCGGAGGTAAAGGAAAGGAAAGACGATGGTAAGGTCAGAGGAGACATCGGAGGTAAAGGAAAGGAAAGACGATGGTAAAGTCAGAGGAGACATCGGAGGTAAAGGAAAGGAAAGACGATGGTAAAGTCAGAGGAGACATCGGAGGTAAAGGAAAGGAAAGACGATGGTAAAGTCAGAGGAGACATCGGAGGTAAAGGAAAGGAAAGACGATGGTGAAGTCAGAGGAGACATCGGAAATAAAGGAAAGGAAAGACGATGGTAAAGTCAGAGGAGACACCGGAGGTAAAGAAAGGAAAGACGATGGTAAAGTCAGAGGAGACATCGGAGGTAAAGGAAAGAAAAGAATGGTAAAGTCAGAGAGGAGACATCGGAGGTAAAGGAAAGGAAAGACGATGGTAAAGTCAGAGGAGACATCGGAGATAAAGGAAAGGAAAGACGATGGTAAAGTCAGAGGAGACATCGGAGGTAAAGAAAGGAAAAACGATGGTAAAGTCAGAGGAGACATCGGAGGTAAAGGAAAGGAAAGACGATGGTAAAGTCAGCGGAGACATCGGAGATAAAGGAAAGACGATGGTAAAGTCAGAGGAGACATCGGAGGTAAAGGAAAGGAAAGACGATGGTAAAGTCAGAGGAGACATCGGAGGTAAAGAAAGGAAAAACGATGGTAAAGTCAGAGGAGACATCGGAGGTAAAGGAAAGGAAAGACGATGATAAAGTCAGAGGAGACATCGGAGGTAAAGGAAAGGAAAGACGATGGTAAAGTCAGAGGAGACATCGGAGGTAAAGGAAAGGAAAGACGATGGTGAAGTCAGAGGAGACATCGGAGGTAAAGGAAAGGAAAGACGATGGTAAAGTCAGAGGAGACACCGAAGTTAAAAGAAAGACAATTGTAACATCAGAGATAACACAAAGGCATTGGCCACAGGAATTACGTCCGAGTAGACATTGACAGAACAGTAAAGAAAAGAGTAGCATGAGAGCGAACATAGAAATAATAAAAGAATGGTATACACAGTACGTCAACAGGAAAAAATGGCAAAAAATGAGATCCAACGAGACATCAAAATGTAAGAGGTACAGTGATCAGAAAAATGATACAGAAAAAACACAATAAACGGATATGAGGAGACACCGAAAGAAAAAGGCAGAGAACCATAAGTGGGGACGAAAAGAAAGAAAAATTCAAGGACACATCAGAATTAACAAAAAGTAAACAAAAATATCGGAGGGGAAATGGAAAGAGGACAGCGATGAAATCCGAGGAGACACAGATCGGAAAGAAAGACAGTGAGATAAGATCGAAAAGACACACATAGAATAAGATGCCCTGACTGAGTAATGAATGTGTTGACCGTTATGATATATAATAATGTCAATGTATATTTTCCTTTTAATTCCTGCTCATAAGCTTTGCTACTAAAAGATTTAGATAAAGACGCGATATGCGTAGATTTCCCCTCAATTACGTTCGCTATTATAACAGCGACGCGTCTTTTAAAATTTCCATAACATATTGGTAACGATATAAAATGTCTGTTGGATAGACGATGTTTGTTCGAAAAGGTATTGCTTATACATTGATGGTATACAATATGTATATAATACAGATTTATTCAGTGAATTTCACACATCATCAATTATGTTTACTAATGCAGACACTAATGACTAGTACCAAACAGGTAAGCTGTATGTAATGGCCATGGTTGACATCTAATAATGTTAGAACGACGTTTTTGCTGAGGGTTTCAAATACATTAAGTTCAGTAAGCGTTTGTGTTTGTTTTCATCAGGAATTAAAATAAAAATTCTTCGAATTAAATATTATGTTACTTCGATTTACATTCCAATGACTAGGAACGATAATTTAGAAAATATCATTAATATTGCTTAACATAAATATATAAATATTGAATCTAGAGCAGTATAACGACTTTTGTATAATTAAAGAGTAGTCAACATATAAGGAACTCATCATCACCAAGGCCGAAAAGTAAACATCAGTTGTAAACAAAAATCAGACGTAATGTAAACATCAGACGTAATGTAAACAGCAGACGTAATGTAAACAGCAGACGTAATGTAAACATCAGACGTGATGTAAACAAAAGTCGTCCTATAAACATCAGACGTAATGTAAACATCAGACGTAATGTAAACAAAAGTCGTAATGTAAACATCAGTCGTGATGTAAACATCAGACGTAATGTAAACAAAAGACGTAATGTAAACACAGTCGTCATGTAAACATCAGTCGTAATGTAAACATCAGACGTAATGTAAACAAAAGTCGTCATGTAAACATCAGACGTGATGTAAACATCAGACGTAATGTAAACAAAAGTCGTAATGTAAACATCAGTCGTGATGTAAACAAAAGTCGTCATGTAAACATCAGACGTGATGTAAACATCAGACGTAATGTAAACAAAAGTCGTAATGTAAACATCAGTCGTGATGTAAACATCAGTCGTAATGTAAACAGCAGACGTAATGTAAACAGCAGACGTAATGTAAACATCAGACGTGATGTAAACATCAGTCGTAATGTAAACAGCAGACGTAATGTAAACATCAGTCGTGATATAAACATCAGTCGTAATGTAAACACAGACGTACTGTAAACATCAGTCGTGATATAAACAAAAGTCGTCATGTAAACAAAAGTCGTAATGTAAACATCAGACGTAATGTAAACATCAGTTGTAATGTAAACACAGACGTAATGTAAACATCAGACGTAATGTAAACATCAGTTGTAATGTAAACACCAGACGTAATGTAAACATCAGACGTAATGTAAACATCAGACGTAATGTAAACAAAAGTCGCAATGTAAACATCAGTCGTTTTTAAACAAAAGTCGTAATGTAAGCAGCAGACGTAATGTAAACAGCAGACGTAATGTAAACATCAGACGTACTGTAAACAAAAGTCGTAATGTAAACATCAGTCGTGATATAAACAAAAGTCGTCATGTAAACATCAGACGTAATGTAAACAAAAGTCGTCCTATAAACATCAGACGTGATGTAAACAAAAGTCGTCCTATAAACATCAGACGTGATGTAAACATCAGACGTAATGTAAACAAAAGTCGCAATGTAAACATCAGACGTAATGTAAACAAAAGTCGTCCTATAAACATCAGACGTGATGTAAACATCAGACGTAATGTAAACAAAAGTCGTCATGTAAACAAAAGTCGCAATGTAAACATCAGCCGTAAAGTAAACATCAGTCGTAATAGAAACATCAGTCGATTACATGGTAAAACAAAATTTAACAAACCACTTATTGCATAGTTAATGTTAAGATGAAATTAACACCAGGTGACAGTTTTAATTGTTGATTACAAAAAGATAGACATTATAAAAGTGGAAGGAATTGTACGGTTTGTATTACTTCTTGTTAAATTTGGGTTCGACAGTTTTTCAGCAAAAGTTCACTCGTGCATGTTAAAAAGATAGGAAAACTCGCAGATAATAAGAAGGTTCTCTAAAAGATCTTCACAAAATGAATCCTTATCTTTGTGTTGCTCTTGCTCTTCAGATGTGGACAATTAACAAAATGTCACTACTAGTCCTCCTTTGTATGGTGAGACAGTAATACACATTTTCTGAGAGAAGGCGCGATGAAGTATATATATACATAGATAGTCTTTTGAATGCTTCAGCATTGTCCGCCCGAGTGCATCTCAAAAGGAACAGACAATGGCGATGTATTTGCCCAGTGAAATAGTCTTCTTAAAGCGTATAATTCTGTCACAGCGTCTGCACATCTAAGAATTCATCATTTCCACAAACTCTGAAAGTTGAAAAAAATGAAAGAAATTCAAATAATGTAGAATGTAAATATCGCATACAATTTGACACCCGTGGTATTTGTTGCTATGGTATCGCATTTATATTACAGAATCCATCTGTACTGTATCATTTGTCAGTTGATCGTTTAGTAACCTCTCATACGTAATACCAAAAGTTAAAATTGGCTGATTTCCCCTTTAATCCTTAAAAGGAGCATATTTCCCGACCAAATCCTTTATCTCAGTCTACGATTTTTTTGTTATACCTTCTACCATTGTATCTAAGGAAACGCACCATTATAGTTAATAGAAATGATAATGGCGAAAATTGTCGAGTAACGACCGGAAAGTACCGAATAGTAATGAGCTGTAACGTAAGCAGTCAATATCGATACGTTGATCGGTAGCAATTGTTATTGTTGCAAACATCTAGAATTTCAAACTTTCTTCGGCATAAAAAAGTACATAGAATAACAAACCTTTGTAGTTGATATTCCCGTCCTGATTTTTATCTGCGCTATGTATCAATTCCTCAACCTCGTCAAACGTCAGGGCCTCTCCTAATGTTGTTAGTGCCTGTCGAACCTGGTTGACCGTTAGGAACCCTTTCATGTCCTTGTCAAACACTCTGAACGCCTCCATTAGTTGTTTCTTAGAGTAGGCGTCAATTCCCTCCTTCATCATTAAGGTTATAAACTCGGGAAGATCTATACAACCGTTTCCTTATGAAGAAAATATGTAAAGAAAGTCAGTTATACAAAATTAAATTCTTACTGGCTTAAAGAAATGACATACGTTATGGTAACTAGGTTCTCGGGGAGACAACTTGCAATATTGCTACGCCAATAAAGACGTGCCTGTAAGAAGTAGATATTAAGTCTTTGCTTTAAAATACAAGATGTGAAATTTATTAACTATCGATATATAATTTTTTCTAGGGTTCTTTTAAAACAGATTACAGTGATCCATGCAACATGCCGACACATCACGAATTAATACATCAATATATGTTATATACATGTTTTTGACGCAACCTTTTTTCCTCATACTCCGACTGCGCTATTTATTTCAGTCTTAAAGATGAACCGCGAGAGGCAATCGTGTGATATAACAAATGAAATGAAATATAATGTTTGATTTAACAGTTTTCAATTCCCTGGATCTATTTCTATGATAACAGAAACCGTAGACCTACCTTTACAGTCGACCTGTTCGATGAACTGTCGTACTTCGGCGTCCGTCGGAGTCTGTCCCATTGATAACATCATTGCCGCCAACTCTTTCGAATCAATTGAACCGTCACCATCTTTGTCAAACAATTCGAACGCTTCCTTATATTCTAAAAAAAAAACAATAGCACTGATTGTGTTAATCATTGATACTGTTTTCTTTTACCCTGGACTGGTATATCCACGCCTTTCCCATGTGTGAGATAAAAAGAATCTTTAACCCCCTTTAGGATGAGATGGGGTATCGCAACCCAATTGGGATGATAAGTTGTCAAGCACAAATCTTGCCGCGTCTTTGATAGATTCTTTGTCTTGTCCCGAGGGTTGAAATTCCCCTATTTCATCCTAGAGAGGATGAACATTTTTTACGCCTTAGGGTTGAGACAAGCTATTTTCACGTTCCGAAAACAATTTAAGCAACGTCACTGACGTGACCCGAAATAGAACTTCTTTTATGAAGTCACATACAGTTCTTCTGCTACTGAAATCTTGTGATATCCTCAAAACCGAAAGTCATGTGTTATCATCAAGATTGCAACTCGTGCAAGCCACGTGTTTGACAACTTAATAATCTTTCCCCACGGGTTGAGATCCCTCTATCTCACCCAATAAGGGAGTGAAAGATTCTATATTTATTTTATTTGATGTCATTTATTTTTGTGTTATGTACAAATGAGTTTCTGGATGTACGAATCAGTCTCATTCTATTATCCTTTTTATATATTTTGTATAAATTCTAGAAATATTTTTTCTCATTTAAACGCTATGTAAATTGTTCATTTTTCAAATCTTCATCTTTTTTTTTATCAACATTTGTATAGTATTTCTATGGTATATCTCATAAGTGCATTACCAGTTTATGAACTGCCAACGGCAAATGAATATTGCAAGAAATGTAAACAAACAGAGGCTGACTTATTTTATAACAAAATGAAAATTGAAGTGAAAGAATAAGTGTAAGCGTTGAACTGGTTAAAATTGTTTTTCATAGGTGATATGAATGCCAGCTTGGTAAGGTCAGATACAACTTCTGTATTTTGAATACAGATCAAGAATTATTGACTGTTTGATTTGAATTCTAAAATATACATATATGTACACATTATTTTTCGTGAATACTTCATACTTTTATAGAGTTGATAATGTTTGAAATTCTTCTAGTTCCTTGTTACTATTTGTTTAGGCCCTGTTTTTAGGACGTGAAGGTACAATTTACTGGGATGCGCGTTTCATTGGACCAGGTCGTGTAGAGTAAGGCCCAATAGGTGGGATTAATGATACTTAAATAGTTCACCAGACAGAAGACTGACTCCCCCCCACCTCTCTCTCTCTATCTCTCTCTCATAACTGTATTATCTATAGTTAATTAAGCTATATCTAAAAAAACATGATTGTGTAAACTCGTCATATTTCACATTGTAATATTTAATCGTGTAACCATTGTTATTTCATTATTGCATTTATATATAAAACTTACCGAACAATCCTTTTGACATTCTAATATGACAATAAAATATGTTTAAAATAAAGTAAATCACATTAAATTATATCAAAGGTTTGATTTTCTTGTTTCCTGGCTACCTGATTTTTTGTCATAACTATGATGTGTTTGGTTTTTTAATGACTAAATGTCCAAATCATCACATTTGTGGTATTATCTGTGCATCATAATAATCGTGATGTATTTGATAAAAAGGATTCTAGTCAATGTATACAAATCAGTGGGACTATTCGACGTACCTCTGTATTGTTCTGCACTTAACTTTTCCATCCTAGGCGGAAACAATCAGATTTCAGTGATCTTGACTGATACACAGCAACGTTACCTTTTTTCAGTACTAGGTCTTCTCTGAGGTTCTAGGTATTGTTCCAATATTTTATAAGACATTTAACAGATTTGGTTTGAGAGGTGATATTTTACGTGGTGCGTTTCCTTCAGATCTAAGTCCATCTTTATCTTACGTATTTACCAATCTTTGACCTCTTGTTCGCGTCATCAGAAAACATAATGCATATTTGCTGGTAGGATACCATCAGGTTTGCAATAAAACTTTAGAAATAGATTTCGGGCGCTTTCTATAAAACGCGCATTAAGTGTTCAAACCCATTAATAGTAAAATAACGGCTTGTATCTTTTACGAGTGAAGCATATAGGACCATGAAAAATTCTGCAAATATAACGTGAAGCTAGATCTATACTTTGTCCTCTTGATTCCCATTGTGGCATGTAATGTCCTTGCGTGCTATCGCTTTGTGATATTTACAAATAATCCCTGTGTGTTGACGTTGTAACACCATATACGGCACTGTATGTTTAAAAAGTGATAGAAGTTGTCCCTCTTTTTATGTCCTCTGTGTTAGGTTGCCCCCGGTACGCTATGATATGTCCTGACATGGTATATTCTCTATGTTGACCTTAAGATATATGTTGTCCTTCTGTGATGATGTGATATTTCATCTCTGTTGTCCCTGTGATATATGTAGTCCCTCGGTGTTGACCCTGTAATATATGTTGTCCCTCTGTGTTGACCCTGTGATATATGTTGTCCTTCGGTGTTGACCCTGTGATATGTGTCGTCCATCTGTGTTGACCCTGTGATATATGCTGTCCCTCTGTGTTGACCCTGTGATATATGTTGTCCCTCGGTGTTGACCCTGTGATATATGTTGTCCTTTGTATGTTTAAAAAGTGATAGAAGTTGTCCCTCTTTTTATGTCCTCTGTGTTAGGTTGCCTCCGGGACGCTATGATATGTCCTGACATGGTATATTCTCTGTGTTGACCTTAAGATATATGTTGTCCTTCTGTGATGATGTGATATTTCATCTCTGTTGTCCCTGTGATATATGTAGTCCCTCGGTGTTGACCCTGTGATATATGTTGTCCCTCTGTGTTGACCCTGTGATATATGTTGTCCCTCTGTGTTGACCCTGTGATATATGTTGTCCTTCGGTGTTGACCCTGTGATATGTGTCGTCCCTCTGTGTTGACCCTGTGATATATGTTGTCCCTCTGTGTTGACCCTGTGATATATGTTGTCCCTCGGTGTTGACCATGTGATATATGTTGTCCCTCGGTGTTGACCCTGTGATATGTGTCGTCCCTCTGTGTTGACCCTGCGATATATGTTGTCCCTCGGTGTTGACCCTATGATATATGTTGTCCCTCGGTGCTGACCCTGTGATATATGTTGTCCCTCTGTGTTGATAGGTATTTCATCTCTGTTGACCTTGTGATATATGTTGTCCGTCTGTGTTGACCCTGTGATATATGTTGTCCCTCTGTGTTGACCATGTGATATATGTCGTCCCTCGGTGTTGACCCTGTGATATGTGTCGTCCCTCTGTGTTGACCCTGTGATATATGTTGTCCCTCGGTGTTGACCCTGTGATATATGTTGTCCCTCGGTGTTGACCCTGTGATATATGTTGTCCCTCGGTGTTGATGTTGACAATTAGCTATGACAGGATTCCATATGCTTAATTAGTCATTAATAAAAGAACTTTATGTTTCAAAATCTTTTATGCAATATTCTGTTTATCATTTGTGTCGAGTTACATACATGCTCTTTCTCTACTACAGAACGAATGCTGAAGGAAGGGCTGATTTTAACTCTTAGGACTATAGCGTGACGCCACTGGTCAATATAAATAAATTTTATAGAATCAACACATAGCACTATACAGCTAATATTCTGGTTTTGTATGTTAATCTGCTTGGCGGTTTTCTTTGCTTTCTATCTTTGTTACTTAACATTATATTATATGTTTTATTTTACTTTGAATTTAATGATTATAGTATATTGATTGCCATCAATACAACTATATTTGAAGCCATTTGTATCAATTAACTTACCAAGTACTTAATTATACAATGCATGCCATCTTTAGGTAAACTATTACAGAGACACGTTATAATTCAAACAGGAAATATTTACCAATATCTCCGTTTTTAGAATTAAGAGTACTTTCATATAGACAGAAAAATAAGATTTACAAAGTTCTACGATTGTGTATGTATGATACTTTAACATTTCCACCAGACTTCGCCGGTGATTCATACTCTACGTTTGATGTTCTCCAGGCCCCCTGCGCATTGCAGTCCGATGCAGTCTACAGAGAGTTAGTTATATCGATGTCCTGTATAGCACTATGGTATGGAGATGTTCAAGCACTGTTACAGATGTACTATCGATCTCGTCTTTGGTGGAAATCGAGACCGTGATATCAGTATCACATATGTCGTGTTTACAAATGATTTTGGGTATAATGTGTCCAAAAAATCATTTTCAGTTTTCACTTGAAAATCTTGTGTATCATCCTTTGCCATCCCATTCACAAACTCCAGGTAAATGTTAATTAAATAGTCATATATATACATTGCACATAGTGTAAACTTGGTTGATTTTAGCTCTTCAACTGACTAAATTATGAGATACGAAGGAAATTAAGGAGTATAAAGATCTTCGGTCATATCAATGGATTATTAACCTACATGCTTAATGCATGTAGTCAAACAAGGTGTGTACTCCCTTCCTTAAACAAAGAGCGGGGTAGGGGGTTCGCCCTAGCTTAGTCAGTAGAGCGTTTGTTTGACAAAGCAAATTGATATGAAGATCCGAGATGCGGGGTGCGACGATTTCTATTCAAATGGCTCTACTCCCGTTGTAATAGTTGTATCCTTAGACAAATAACTTCACGCGTACAGCTTTCGATTACATGCGACAAGCCTCCTGTATACTGTTCTATAAGGTAGCCACCAGGTACTAGAAACCTCGTCTCAAAATGCCCTGGTTGTTCATGGGGGCATATAGACAGCACAAAACCCTTTATCAACATCTTTGTGTTTATCTAAACGGAATTCCGATTTATAAACTATTGATCAACAAGAGCCCTCACAAACGAGTGATATCCGTCAAGGATAAATTTCATTAGCTCAACGCCAACATCTACATTAACGTAGGTCAAAATTCAAAACAATCACGTTCTCAAAGAGAAGAACTAGGGTAGTGTCAAAACCATAAAACAAAATTATAAGTGTACTTACACTTAGAAACATAACATTATCTTGATTAGTTCGGATTTATATACATCAAGCCGGTTTCATTCATGAA